CACGTTACACATGGGAAAAACCACGAAAACATCCATGCAGCCAGCCCGTTCGCGGGATTCGAACCTCGGACTGAACTATCAGTGTTCAGCGACTTTACCTCTCGTCCGCTGGTGGGCCCCTGTACCCAGAGTCTCGACAAGCATTAAAAAGTTTTAGAAGAACGTTCGAACTTAAACGCGGAGGTACAAAATATTACAAGCAATGTCGTGTCATGGAGACCACCGTTGAGAAGCTACTAACAAGAAATATGCAACAAACTCGAGTGGATGAATTTTTAAATAATGTTTGATATGCTTACATAGTGTATTGATCTGTGTAACATGTTGAAATAATTACAATTTTTTCGAAGTGAGACGGCTTTTGTCACCCACGGAAAAAATAATGAAAGTTTTATTAAAAAAATAGTGCATGTAACTTACGTATTGAACAGCATATCGAAAATGAGTATTAATCTCTACAACAGGGCCGTATGCAAGGAGAGAGAAGTTCAGGTATATGCACATTTCATTTATAAAAATTTATTGAAATCTTATATAAAATAAATCTATTTTTAACAATTTTTATTTTTATATCCTCCTTTCCGCCGAAAATATCCAACCTTGTATTCCTAACCGAAACGAAATCCCGCGTGCGGCCCAGCACCGCATATAAAGCTTAACCGCTTTATCCAATCAAATAAGGCCGCAACGGGCGTGATTATATTATTAACACATTGTTGTTGGGCGCTTCGCGTCGGTGCGTTATGGCGAGAGCGGGCGATTTTTTGGAAAATCCTCGCGAATTTTGTCGTTACGTAAAATCACTATAAATTCAAAACTACTTTGAATTTTTTTGTGATTTTCTCAACTTATAAAAAATACAAAATATCACTAAAAAACTCGCGATTTTCAAAAGTAATATAGGTTTGTAATGTGGAAAATACCATTCTTCTTGAGACGTCTAAACACCGATAACTACCCGAATTCACTAAAATAAAACTACTCAAAATTCGTAAATTTGCAGATATAATGAGTTATGATGAGTTCATTTATCGCTGTTATTTATGACCTTACCGTCCCATACCTAATCTATTGTATGCTTATACCTGCGTAGTACTATGTATAAATAAGTGGCATAACAAACATACACACATGTAGTAACTCGCATTAGCTACGTTTACTACCAGTCCATAGAAAACGTATTACTACGTGATCCGCCCTCTATGTACAGTTTCCGAAAAACTTAATTTTACGTGTCCCGGCTACAATGTGTGAAGCATGTTTGATACGCCTTCAGAAAAGTAATCTTTGTAAATAATAGTTTTTCATAAGCATAAATTATCTTTACCTTTTTCTTTTAAGGTTCATATTATTATCTCATTTCTCAGATCCCGCAAAACAGCAAAAGCACTGTCTGTGTTTTCGTTAATTTTCGAGCCGTCTGTATAAATTTCTATTTGAGAAGGCAGAGCTGTTGTAGTTGGCTGGACTTAGATGCGAACACCAATGCCTTTAAATGATGGATGGGTACGAAAATCAGGAGCCGGTATTTCATTCTCCGGAAGGAAATATTCATCAGAGAAGGAAGCTGGACGCCGTAACTGTTTGATGAGTTGCCTGACAGCCTCTTCTTCAACTCGTAAGTGGAGGGGTAATAATCCCGCTAAAACATTGATTGCATTAGAGGCTAAAACATTGATTGCATTAGAGGCTATTGCACAAGACTTACGCTACCTAATCTTTTACGGTATTAAAAAAGCAGTTATAAAAACAGACAGTCTATCGTCGTTGCATGCTTTGGATAATCCTGACCATCCATCTACCATCATCCAAACCATTCAGCAGGACCTAAGAGAGCATTTCCCCCATCAGCTTAAACTTGAGCGGATCAAAGCTCATGCTGGGCATTACGGAAACGAAACTGCAGACAGTCTAGCCAAAGAGGCAGCTTCAGGCAATGCAGATACTAAAGTCAATATCCCATGGCCTATTTCTTATCTAAAGAAATGCCTGAGATTGAAGGCCATTGGACGATGGTAAGAGGAATGGGACGAGGGCTCAACCGGTCGACGAACGCAGTATCACATAGCGTATGTGGACACTGACCGTATCATTTCAACCCTCAGATCGTTCGATTTATCACTGGCCATGGTCCATTTCCGCAACATTTTGCAAAACGCGGACTCAGCCATACTGAGTTCTGCTGCTGCGGAGATATTAGATCACCAGAGCATTACCTGATCACTTGTCCATTGACATCTGATCTTCATATTAAACTGCCAAGTACCAACAGGCAGGCATTCTGCAAATTTTTCATAAAGCAGAGATATCTGATTACAAAAGTTGTCAATTTAATGGACAAACTGTCTGTGCTGGGCATGGACTTATGTCAGACAGCGTAAATTCTTCTGCTGCCATAAACGTATGCTCCGTATGGATTATATGCAAATTTGTATCAGCAATATAATAGTCTTACACCAGAAAAGTATAGTACCAGTATTAATCAGTATTGTGTCAGTATTAATACAAGTAAAGTATTGTATCAGTATTGTAACAGTTAAATATTGTATATGCATATTTGTATCAGTCGTAATTGAGTAAAGTATTGTATCAGTATCAGTATTATATCAGTCCTGTTTCCGTAGCATATCAGTCATATTTGCATCAGTAATATACCAGTAATGTGTCGATAATGCATATGTGTTGTGCTAATTCGCATTAGCTTGAGTCTTTTTAACGTGTTATTTCGTGGTTTTATTTACCGACTTGTATGAATTTCCATTTACAATTAATCACTATTAGTCAGTATTGTATGAGTATTGATACCAATAAAAGTGTTGTATGAGTATCAATATCAGTAAAGTATTGTATGAGCATTAATATCAGTTAAGTATTGTATGAGTATTAATACTAGTAAAGTATTGTATATGCATATTTGCTCATGCATATATCGCATGAGCAATAAAAACAGTCTTACAATCAGTAAAGTATTGTATCAGTATTATATCAGCCTTGCAGCAGTAGTGTATCAGTTATATTTCATCAGTAATGTACAAGTAATGTAACAGTAGAACATTGATCTGTGATATTTTAGTTCGCTTTTTTTTTAAGTCTTTGTAACGTATAATTTCATGGATTTATTTACCGATCAATGTATCAGTAATGTAGCAGTATTAATCAGTATTAATCAGTATTAATATTATTACCAGTATTATATTAGCCTTTTATCAGTTCTGCATCTGTAATATTTGCCTCAGTAATATACCAGTAATGTATCTTGAATATTAATCTGTAACTCTGTAACATGTTATTTTATATGTCTTGTCGTGCACGTTGATTACCTTTCAGTTGGCATTATGTATTTTGAAGGGGTGCTATAGATAGTACAATAGTACAAGTAATGTAACAGTAGAACATTCATTTGTGATATTTTAATTCGCAATATTTTGAGTCTCTGTAACGTATTATTTCTTGGATTTATTTACCGACTTATGCCAAATCATTCCCATTTAATCAGTAATAATATTCAGTGTTATGTCAATGTATCAGTACTGTAGCAGTATTAATCAGTGTTAATATCAGTATTATATCAGTGTATGTCTTGTCGTGCACGTTGAATACCTTTCAGGTGGCATTATGTATTTTGAAGGGGTGCTATAGATAGTGGTGGACGTGGTGCTATACTAATTAACCGTTTGATAAGGGGATAGTGCCCACGTCCTCCGTTCTCTTTCTCTCTCATTTCTCAGATATATTTTATGTAAGCATTTTTTATCTTCAACAGAGAAAGAAATTCAATTAGAATCAGATCAAGAATTAAACGTTTGAAAAAATGGAAACGAATCAGGTCTTCCTAACAGGGATAAAGATACAAACAATGTGAAAAATTCACCAAAATCCGTCTTTGCTAATTTGCTACACGAGACCCATTTCCGAATCAAAGAACATTGATGTTCCAAAAGTTCTTAGTTTCAAACTGATTTGATTTGTAGTAAGTTAGTTAAAACTGGAAGAAATAAGACAGTTTTTAGTCAGCACCAGCAAGTTTTAGACAGCAAGAAGTAAGACAGTTTAGAATATTGAAAAATTCCACAAGAATGAAATATTTTGCGCAAAATAACTAGATTAATTTCTTTGAAATAAAATTTCTTAGGTTGCATAGGAACTTTGTGATGAAGGAGAGAATCAGAGAATTCAGATTCTGTTATTGTCTTACCGGTTCTATTACTGGCTATCGGGCGAGTAAGTTTTGGAAACTGACAGATTTTACATAAAAGTAAAAGCTGAAAAAGGACCTTATATGCGGAATTCTCCTTTTGAATACTGGCGTAAAAGAACATAATTAAAGATATTTTCATATTTTGATAAAGTGATGTGAAAATTGGAATGATTCAGATAATTGTTTAATAAAAAATCTGACAGTGTTATAAAGCTCATATTTTTCTCTTTTAACCTGAACAGATAGTAAAAAGATTTGGAGGAAGTTATTTGAAAATGACTCATGCATCCTTTATGAAATGACCCTTTATGAAAAATGTAATCCCGCACAATAATCCCTAAAGAAAGTATGATACTTTTACTGTTGCACCTTTAGATGTTGTAATGATTTTAGTTGAAATCATTTAATTTGTAATGCATATACTAAGCTTTAGTATTTATGAGGTAAATTTAATGCTGAATATTTTTCTAGCGTAATTACTTCTATTAATTTGAATTTAGGCCCACCAGCGGCCGAGCGGTAAAATCGCTGAACACTGGTAGTTCGGTCCGAGGTTCGAATCCCGCGAACGGGCTGGCTGCATGGGCGTTTTCGTGGTTTTCCCCATGTGTAACGTGTATACGAGCCAGTTTCCCTTAGAAAGTCCTCCACGAAGGCATCCCTCCTCTTAGGCAGATAGCCCTCGAGGCTTTGCGATAATTAAATACACACACACACATAATTTGAATTTAAATGCACTTTTGAAGTAACGTGCACTGATGAAACTTGATAAATATTCCTACTGTAAAAATGCACATGCTAATTCTTTTATAAAAATAAATTTATTCATATTTACATATTATTTACAAGTAGTAATCAAAGAATTACTTTTGTTCATCAGTTCATTTTTTCTTATTCTTACCCCATACATAAAAATTAAATACTCTCGTCCCTCATTTAAGCATTACTTTTTTATTGTAGGCGAAGATATTTATTTATTTACGTTTCGTCTTTTGCTCTTGATCATTCTTTCCGCTTCCAATTCTGCTGCTCTCTCTAATTCAGCATATTTAGAATACCTGTCTTCAGCAACACGCTTTGATCTATCTGAAGATTTTTGATCTTTAATGTCAAAGGATTCGTCAAAAGACTTTCCTTCCCATTTATTATCTGAAGATGACGCACTTCTAGATTCTTCAGAGGATTTTGCTTCTCGTGTATTACTTATAGAGGACGTATATGGCATAGCATCTGTAGTTCTAATTTCATCGTTATATAATTTCTTTTCCAGAATTTGATCATCATTTAAGGTAGTTTTCTTTACGGGGTAGTACTTTACAGCTGCTGGATGTGATGCTCTTGGAAGATCGAAAAGTTTTATGGGCCGTTTCTGAAGTGGAACTTCGTATTGTTGTGCTTTTTCCATCTTTGGTGCTTGAGTAATGGGGAAAAGCGGATATTTCAACTTCTCATTTTGTTTACTGTAACCATCAGGCTTAGGTGTGTTCTGTACTTTCGGTTTCAATAATTTAGCAATAAATTTTTCTTTTGCATTGCTATAGTTAGGTTCTGGAATTTCGATGTTACTTTCTTTGCTGCTGCTATGGTAACTGCATCGCGATGCGCTGTTATCAGTTTCATCGTGATGCACCGTTGTTTCATCATAAAATTTTCTGTTACCTTTCAGAGTTACCTCTACATGTTTCCTGACGTTATTATTAAACGATGGTGCATTCGTGATAATCTTGTGAGCGGGTCCATTTTTACCTAATTGAAGGTTTTTAGGATTAAAAGTATTTTGACTTGATTCAGATTCATCGTCACATTCGAAACTTTCATCATTTTTCAAAGGAGGCTGTTGCTTGATAGAATCAGTTGTGGAGTGATTTTCTGAGGTTGGGTTCATTGAATATCCCGTTTCTTTATGTAATTTTGCTCCATCTGTGAAAACGTATTTGCTGTTAATAGAAGGCTGTACTCCTATAGCGAAATTCTGAGGTCTTTGGGGTGTACCAGAATTTTCAAATTTTTCTTTGCGAACTTCCTGAGCCGAAGGTATTTTGTAATACATTTTATGGGCGTTATTTTTTTTGTTATATTGTAATTCAGGTATTCTCTGGAGACGATCCTGATGATGTTGTTGACTATTGTCAGATTTTTTCTTTTCTAGGATGGGCTCCTGTATGTCTTTTGTGAGAGGAATCAGTTTAATAATTTGATCTTGATTGTTACGTGCGCTTGTAGGACCTGGAAATACCGACTCTATAAAGGGTTTTGAATTTTTTTGAAATATGGTTTTGTCTAGTGATAATGGTATATGATTTATTTTTTCGGTGTTTAGCACCTCCGTATTAGATGAAAATGGTTTTATTGCTGCTTGGGAATGTATATCTTCTTCGATTTGCAGCTCGTTTTCAAAACGGGGAACTTTCACTTTCCGAAAAGGACCCATTTGTACTGTGTAACCGTAAGACCGCAAACTAGGCTTTTCAGAATTCAAATCGGAAAATTGAGAGGCTTGTTTATATTTTAGCAACAAGGATTTTGCTTTGTCAGTATTTCCTAAGATTTCAAAATTTTGATTTACTGGTCTAGTTTTGACTACGACTCCATAAGCTAGTTCCCCCTCACTACTTTTTGACAAATTAGTTTTTTCATTGTGTGTGAGCATTACAGGCTTAGGACGTGTATAAAGGTGCTTGTTACTGTCCGCTTTTACATCGACTGTGGGAACATCTGGATTTTCTGTTATTATGTTATAATTTGTTTGTTTAGGACTACCACCATAGGGTGTTAATTGTGCATTTCTAAAATTCTTATCGAAGACAATATTTTTCATACTTGTTTTCGTTTTGATCTCGGCGTCATAATTTTGAATTGCCGATGGGATAATCTTAGGTGGTTTGATTAGTGATTTTTGCTCCACAAATTTATTATGAGTTTTTACCTGTGCATTCTTGCCAGATTGTCTTTCAAATGAGAAAGGCGCCAAATATATTTTTTGTGTTTCATCTGGAAAACTGCGAGTTGTTAAATTGTATACTCGTATATTTTTATGAAAATCTTTATCATTATTGAGCAGCTCTTTATGCAACTCTATAGTTGGTTGGCTGTAATCTGTTTGTTTTCCTATTTTAATCTTGGTATTAGGATCGTGAAAACTTATTTTAAAAATGCGAGCGCCCTGTAAATTAATTTTTTGAGGATCTTCTACTCGGAAACCATAATTATATTCTCTTGATCCATCATCATTTTGTATGATGCCTGGTAGAGGATAGATGTAGCGAGGAATCCTTTGATCATTTTTTGGATAGGTAATCTTTTTGTTTTCTTCGTGAGGGGTATTTTCACCGTTCCTGTATACATCACTATAGTCTAAATAGTCATCCAAATACATTTTATTTTGTTGTGGATTATCGTCATTATCTGAAACAGCTTGTTCATTAACTGTTTCATCTTTAGAATTGTTTGTTTTCAAATATTTTTTGCGAACATAATACTCTGGAGGTTCATTATTAGGTCGTTGTGCTCTTTGTGAAGCACTTTCAGAAATAACTTTTTTATCCCAAACAGGTTTCCTATCTAAAAATTCTCGACTTTCAGCTGAATCATTGTCTACATGATGATGTGCTTTATGTACTAATATTATGTTATTTTTTTCCTTTTGGGGGTTATTTACTTGTTTGCTTATTGCAGATGCGTACTCTTTATCATTTGATTTAAAATTATTTTCACTGTGGAAAGAATTTTCACTTTGAAAAGCAGGATTTCCAACTGCAGAATTTACATATTTTGAACTGATATCATCATACGTATTTTGAATTGATTCAGGCGTTGAATTCGGTTCAGGTTGTGTAGTCTTTTGAATTTCCTTTTCGTCCCAGCTGTTTTTAATCGTTCTATATTCGTTTGCATCAGAATTTGGTTTGCCAGTACTTAGATTATCAGCGCTGTTTTCTCGTTCAGCATTCTTATGTAGATGAACGTATTCATTATCTTTATGATAATCATAACCTCTTGATTTTAGAGGCTTTTCTTTCCCCAAATTATCTTTATTTCCTCTGTTCCTGGACGGTTTATTGTATTTTCTTGTAGCTTCTCTTATTCCGTAATCTTTGTTATAAGATTTTCTTGCAGAGGATTTATATTCTGTGCGTTTTGAGGGGCTATTTGTAGTTTTGTTGTGATTCAAATCAGCGTGCTTTAAATACGGAGAAGACTGTATATTTGCATCATCAGTTTGCAAATCTTCTTCCTTTGGTAGTTTACCTTTATTTGCAGAAAATGTTTTCTCCACTTCAGCTTCTAGTTGTCGTAATTTCCAGTTCCAGCTGTTTTCATCTGGATGTCTGGCACTGGTCATTTCGTTATTACTTGGGTTTTGCTGGTAAATATGATCATTGATGCTGTAAAATAATTCTGATTTTTCACATTTCACTTTGCTGTACCAATCACAAACCAAAAGCTTTTGGTTAAACACGGTCGTATTTGGACAGAGAAAAGAATGCTTCTCTCCAGTTGCTTGACACATATGGAATACCTGAAATTAAATAAGCATTATGTAAATTAGAATAAAGTTTAAAAAAGGTTTAGTTAAAATATTATTAATTATATTTTCGCTATCATTCATCAGTGGTTATTTTGTTCTTTTATGAGTTTTATTCTTTTATGATTCAGATCAATTACTTGTTACTTTTCCTGTGTTTACCTATCTAATATTTTATCAGTTATTTAAAAAGTAATATACCTGAAAAAAAATGAGAATATTTTCGTAGTTATATGCTAATTACTAATTATTTCTGAACACACCTCGGATAACGTATCTTATCTGGTATGCATTTAAAGTGTGTATTTGAACTATTCTTGAGTATTTTAATACTGATACACTAATGAATCTTTATATTTTATAATATTTTGACTACTAAACTTGAATGAAATACTTTTGAGATTCATTAAATATTAAAAGTATTTTAGGATAACGAATTATAATATAATAGTACATTATCGCATTTTATAGCTATCATATAAGCAGAGTTCTGTTTTGTATAGGATTAACAGATTATATTAATGCGTCTTCAGTTATTTTGACAGCAGTATGATTTGAGAGTTCAAAATGCAAAAATTACTATATCTAAATATTTGTACTGTTTGATGATGAATTATCTATTTAATTATTAGCAGTTCAAATAATAATTTTCTTCTATCATTATTTTAGAAGACGAATTTTTAACTGTAATATAAAAGAGTTGGAAATTGTATAAGAGCACGTTTAGTTTAATGATAAATCTCAGAAAATCAGTAATAAAAATCTTCGTGTAAATTTCTTCAAATTTTTTCGAAATTCATTTTCGTATACTATTGATAGCTATATGAGTATATTTTTAAGCAGATGAATATGAAAGGAAATTTCCTTGTAAGTGAAATATCACTAATTTGTTCCAAAAGTAAATGTACGAGTTTATTACCGGAGCGTGAAAACCCAAATCTCCAAGTAAAGATCGAAAATCTTAAAGTAGAACAACATTTTTACTTTAGCAGAAATTTGGGTACAGATTAACCTGAATTCGGATGGATAAACGTTATAAATGCCGGTGGCAATTTTGAAATCGTCGGCAATGTTATTACTAAAAAAAGTGTACTTCTGAAATTGCTTCGATACAAGTAAAACGATTGTAATGCGATCTACAGTTGATAAAATATTTAAAGGACATAATGTGATAAATATTTTTCTGTTTAAGTTTTTCTCCTTGTTTTGTTACCAAATGCTAGAAGCTATTATAGTAGATGAAAGTAAGTATGTTATGTTTATTCGAGCAAGTTTGACTACTTGTACCAGAGGCCACATTATTAAGTATGCTTAAAAAGATGCAAATTTTAGGAGAAAGAAAATTATTGCTTATTAAGATTCAAGTTTTGCACTCACGGCCGAACTTAGAATATTTGTTAAATTCTTAGTTTCCTCATTTTAGTTATTTTTATAAATATGAGAAGGATTTAGCATGCTGCCTTATTTTTACATTATCCTTTAGATAAGGTTTAATTTATCTACTTTCGGAAAGCTATAGGCATGTTCAAATGCCGGTGCTATTTTTAAAATGTATTTTATGATTCTTACCTATTTTCTTTCCTATGAATTTATATGTTGTATTCAAAATTTTGTTATATTAAACGTGTGAGGCGTTAATTTTCTCAGCACTTTTTTTTCATTATGCTTTATTCCGCAAAAATGCATTTCTCAGTGCTTTTTTAAATAACAGCATTTGAATAAAATTTTATTGTTCAAATGAAAGCAGAAAGTAAAGAAACCCTTCTGAAAATATTCTACTTCTCGGAGAAAATGCAGCACGATAAAAATTTCATTGCTATATAAGCACATTTTGGTGTATGTTTAGAAAAACAAATTATGAAAATGTTTGAAATTCCCGGTCCGTAACATCAGTTGAAGTGACTGAAATTTGCAACTAAATAAAAGAATGAAAGTTGTCTCTGAAGCTAACTTTTGAGACTCTATTATTAGGAATTAAAAATTTTTTCTCAGTTATTGCATGTCTTAAGATAAAAATGTGAATGATCTAGATCGTAAAAATTTGACCATACTAATGAGTTTGTAAGAGATTTATGCATCAGTCTGAAACATTCGGTTGATCTTAACGTCTCACTGTGGCAAAACTCATCATAATGCATGAAACACGAATCGAATTAGACAAAATAGTTTAGAAGATGGTAGTGAGATTCGTCAGGTTGAAATTGGGGCACGTACATAAAAAATCGTAAAGGATAGATCTTTGAATTCGAGGATATATAGGAACGGGGCCGCAATTAATTACATTTGGCGGGAAATATTAAGATATTTATATGTTCCTTTATCGATGTTTTAAGTTTCGTAGTTTCCGGGCGTACGAATAAAAAATACTGAATGTGTTGTACACCGCTAATTCATCAGGTAGCTGCTGTTTGTGAAGCTTGGCTTCCATCCGATGCCTTTCGCTCCAATGTATACGCATTGCTGCTGATAATTTTAAATACGAGGACGTATCAATCCGGTAGTTACCATTTTTCCTTAATAAGACCTTTCAAGAATATTTCAGAATGCATTTAGTGATTAAGTTGCCTGGGATGCGATACCTCCAAGGATTCTTACTACAGTAAATCAGGAGATCAACCAAAAGATCGATGTTTTCCAGTTTCATCTTCAGGATTGTACTTTTGATCTATCATTATGTTTTACAGTGAATAATTGCGTGCTCAGTGCTGTCAGTTACATAACACTTATTTATTATGAGTCCGTCCTCCGATATATGTACTGCAGCTAGTTTGTATCCAACAGCTGCAGCCTTGCTTTATGCGAACCATAATAGCTGAATCGGCGCCCTGTATGGGATAGCAATCAGCTGCTAACCTGCTATTTCTCGATGGCTTTAGTGAGGAACCTAGACGAATCTTCTGCTGAAAGATAATCAAAAATCTGCACATTCTCCTTTCTTACAGCTTTTTTATGTCTTACAGCTTTTTTCTGTCTGCTTTTTTATTTAACCCTATGCCCTTGTGGACCGAAAGCCAGAAGATACTAAGATGGCAAATAGCCTTCATCCTCTCATAAAGCTTTAGGATGAGAGAATTGGAACTCCTACGAACCCAACTAATAGCATTAGGTGCTGATATGTTATCCGCGAGAATGATGACATTTTCATTCAGGCTGAGATTTTCCAAAGGCTTATAGAGGGTCCAAGCCTCGACAGAGAAAATAGAGTTTCGGCTGTCAATGCGCTAGTCGATAATCACAGCGGTCCCACGTATTGCAGCTATTCCAATTCTGGTTTTAGAATTGGAGGTAACTGCGACGAGAGCTTTAAACTCTCGTTTCATGCATTATTCAGCTGTAGGAATTGATCTTTGCTGTACCTTCCCATCTCGAATGCGTTTGTTATAGAACTCATTCATTTTTATACTAAAATGTGCAAATTCAGAGACATCTTGCTCATTGGTGAACGTGACATTGTTAGAATCAATATCAATTTTGATGAACATTACTTGATACACTGGAATACCGCAGTTCAACCTCAATGGCTTCTGTAACCCGCCCTACTTGTATTTGAAATTTTGTAAATAGCTTTCCAAGCCGGCTGCTGTACGAAAAGCGTCAGTGAGAGCAGTATTCTTAACCAAGAATTTCCTTACTGCTATTCGCCTTGTTTGTAACGGGAAAACTTCTGCTTCTACGTGCAGCAGCGGGAGGTGAGTGCTAATAGAAGGCCCAATGGCAAGGCATGATCACATAGCAGTTCTATTGTTTTTATTCTTTTGTGAGGAGGACATAAAAACAGAAATTTTATGCTCGATTCTCCCTTTTATGATGGTATTCGCTGTTCTGACAAGGTCGATTTCCCTTGAGCTTTAAGCTTGCAATGAACTATTAAAAGCATTTAACATTCTTTCCAGCTTGGAGATAACTTTATTTACCTGAGCATAACTTGTTATCGAGCCATATACCAAACATTTTAACTTGTTCTCCCACCGGGTTGCTGACATCGTTTAATTTCAAAACACCAGCTTCTTTGCTCTTCTTCCCTCGGAAAATAATATATTTATTTTTTATGGTTATATGCATAAATTTCATTCCTTAGCCCAGCTTTGTATCTTGATAAAGGTGTGTTGCAATTTGCTAAACACCTTGCTAAACACCAAAGTGGGAATTTTCTGCAAAACAGAGAAAATTTTCTTTCACGCACACAAAAATGTCAACATCGGTCGGTATGAGTTCATAAATGTTATGTGTAAGAATAGTAGACAGTACCGGGGACAAGATACAGCCCTGCGGAATCCCTCTTCAACTCATAACTATTCGAGAACACACTTCTGCACTTCTGTTTGACTATCCTATGAACTAAATGCATAATACACAAGATGCTGTTTGATTTTATAAAGCCGCCTTTCCGTAGAGTCGACTTTGAGGTCAAAAGTTATCAATTGAATAACTTCGCTTGTCTTCTGTGATGCAGAATACTTGTAAAAATTCTGTTTAGTAAAAGCGCGCAAAGAAATTGGAACTCGTAATGCGTCTCTGAGTGTCTTTCACTTTTCTGAATCCTTTCAAGCAGCCACTGAGAACCATTTTCCTATAACCTGGGCCATAATTTTCGTCAGAGAGATTGGCCTGTATGTTGACATCTTGTAAATCCGTCTCGGTTATTCTTTTGAACCTATCCTGCCTTGGTACTGAGTTTTTGAGGTTCAAGATGGTTCTATCAAATTCAAAGCCAGAGAAAGGCCTATTAATGCTTTTGCAGTCATCCTCACTAAATCCAAGGTAGAAATAAATTTACTATTGGTGGTCTTAATGTAATGCCTAGCAAACGTGTCATACTGATATTCTGCGGTTCAAATGAGGCCGTCAGGCCACTTTAATGTGTCGTGCAAAGCCTGATTCTATTTGTTCTCTTTACAAAGGTTTTTAACATTCACGTGCACACATTATCGTCAGGCATTATCATTTTTACTGGCATTCTTACAAATGCCTTTCTAGCGATGCCTTTTTTTAAC